CCAACCCAGCTGCTGGGTGAACTGTTGACCGCCGTCAGTCTGCCACAACAGGTAAAAAAAAAATAATAATAATTGCTCGTTTCAGTGCTCTAAAAAAATTTCCCTTCTCCCCAGATTCAGCTCAGGCTGAAATTACTGCATTTAAACATTAGTCTGCTCCTTTGTCTTCATGCCTCTGCATTCACATCTGCACCAACTGATATTTTAATAGCTTGTGTGGGGTGTGGCTTATAGCTGCACACTTGCATATAGCAGTTAAGCAATGGGGGATGGTAGGTGGATTACGATATCTATACATCAGGACTTCTTCCCTAAACGTCTGAAGCAGCAGTATCTCGCATGTAAATGCAGCTTTTGTTTGGTCCTCCCATGTCTGTGCTGACGATTAACCCTGGTTTATTGTTATGGCATGTAGTAAAAGTTGAACTTTGAGCTCCCATCTTGGTAGCCATAGGAAGAAACTGTACAAAGACAAAATACATTGCTGCTACCTGGCAAAATATTTGTGTTCAATGGATTTAAAAGTAACATTTCTCTTTACCATCATATAACAATCCTTGCCAACTCTGTGCTGTAGTGTGTAATAAATAATTTATCAATGGAGCAAATGATGGCTGTAAATGATTTATTATTATTACAAAAGTAGAATGATTGCAGCTGGAGCACAGCAGCAGCAAGCAACCAACCAGAGGCATGTATCACATGCTAATTTGAGCTCATGTATTGCTGCAGTGATTCAGCCAGGAACTGAATTAACAGAATAATGATCAAAGGTCTACTTAGTGTGTTATTTGTTCATAAGTTGTAGGTTTGGCGGTTTAATAAAAGAACGAAGGTCATTTACATACCCGATCTTGGTCTTTTGCTTGGGCTTTGAGGAGGGTACAATGCAAGCCTTCCTGGAGGCTTTCTCTTTGGTCCGGGCCTTCCCGTTTCCCTTGTGCTCGCGCTCCCGGTGGCTCTTGTACTGAGAAGAAGAGCTGGGGAAGCTCTCCGGACTCATAACTCGTGGGATGTTCTTCTCTCCTCGCTGTCGGGCCTTGGCAATAGCTTCTGATATTATCCTATTGGCCTTCTCCTGCTTCTCATGCAGATTTGACTCCATCTGATGGTGTGTCCTCCGTGGCACCCTCTTCTCCGATGAGGAGCTGGATGAGGATGAAGACGAAGAAGAAGAGGAAGAGGAGGAGGAAGAGCTGCTCTTCACAGGGGGACTGAGGACCCGCACCTGGCTGCTAGGACCATTGGGGTTTTTTCGAGGCTAAGAGGAGAGAAAAACATTGGTACAAGTTTATTATTCAAAATTGTCATACCTTTCTCAAACACAATTCATAAATAAGACAGACATGATATAAATAGCACTTTCTTGATTATCTAAACGAATATTAGAGATACCACTGCACCAAGGTCCCTGATGCATTTCTGCTGACCAAAATTGTTTGTTGTAGTTGTAAAACCATATTTTCTTACAGCAAATTAGTAGCAAATTGTACAAAATTACTTTTAACTGTGTATTTTCAAAGCAGGTACAAATCGACCTTATTATGGTTTCCAACCTGGTCATGGTTTCATACAAAGCATAATTCCAGAAATGGCACCAAAGGCCCTAAGACAGAAAAAGTTCAAAATGGTAATAGCAGTAGCATAGCTGTTTTTAATAATTGAAGAGAAAGGTTTCTTGTTGACCAATCAGGCCCAACAAAGGTTTTTCCCGGTTTTTCCAGTGAACAGTGTCCAGTGCAATGTTTTATTTTTTTAAATGTTGTCCTCGTTCAACTTAATTATACAACTGGATCAATACAAGGTCTCTTGGGAATTTGAAGTCATGCTGTGAAGGTCATTCAACCATTTGAATCAGCCGAGTTGGAGCAGAGATGCATCTAAAAACAGGCAGGACACCGGACCCTTATTCACTGAATTTGGACACCATCAACCTAGTTTGATGTATTTTTGTCTTTTATGTGTACCATCATTGTTAATTTTCTTTAATAAGTTTAAGAAATTTCATTTAACAACATCATATTGTTACAGATCGTTTTGCAATTTCAGTTTTGAGCCAGACACCAACGTTCAATTTCTAGAACTAAATGGTTGGCAATGGTGACGTGCCTGAGCCTTACTAAAAACATCAACAAACGTCATTAGAAAAGAAACTCAGCAGTATTGCAGCGATACATCCAAGTTACCACAATCTGCCAAATTTTTAAGGAGTAAAGATGTGAAAATAAAAGTGAACAGTGATTTTAAAAGAGACCTGGACAAGAGCAATCAGGAAATGTTTTGTTTTATGCTCATCTGGCCTCTTTGCCATTTCTATTTTTGTTTCTATTAAACCTGATTCTTGGGATAGTTTTTACCTTCCAAAGATCTAAAGTGTTTTTCTATAATTTAATAATGTTTAATTTAAGGAAGAGTAATAATTTAATATAAAGAAATACCTTTTAGCAGAAAATTTTCATTGCCATTTCATCAGAAGTAATCTCTAAGTCAGCTGGCCCAAACTGGGATACGAACTTCAAAGAGTAAAAGTACATGAAATATTTATCAAATAGTTACTACAGTTTTTTTTTATAATTTTATTTTTAAAGTCATTCATCTTTCTAATTTATCTAAAAATACTTTGCTACCATGAGAACTGAACCAGTATATAGATATGAAAAGGCTTGAATGTGGGTATGAGAAATGGACGATAATTGCCCTTGAAGGTATAAAAAGTTGACTCCAAAGGGAAACTTGACCCAGAGATTTCGGCAGCGCTAATCTTTCACTCTTCATATGAGTACATTTACGGTAAACAGTTGCCGTAAATGCAACTGTTTATATATTGCAGTAAGATGTTTTAAAAAATCAAACATCACTTCTTAGGGGACAAGAAGAGACTCAAAATCCCAGGGGTTTATGAGGAAAACCAGGAAATTGGACTGAGCCCTACACACTTAAAGCAAATGAAAGGGTTTATTTGTGTTTTTAGTTTTTTTACAAAAAGAAGGTACATATTGTACAGTTAGTTTGTCATCAAATATAGCATTGTAGCACAACTAAGTATGGGAATATGATCTATGAAAGTAAGACTCTTATTAAGAAAGCAGAGACCTATTGTGGGCTGTGTCAGACAGCAGAGCCTCTTTCTCTGATGCTGTAGGTGGGGGTTAACCAGTCTCACTCTGCCTGTTACTCACTTCAACTCTCACAAAGCCCATCTAACTCAAACAAGTGGAAACGTAGCAGGAGGGAAAGATCAGCGTTCCTGTGGAGAATCTTTTCAGATCAGGTGGACACCAGTTGACATGAAAAGTCTGATGTAAATTTCATTCTTTGACTTAGTCGTTGACTTAGTTACATGTTCGTTGTAGCAGGTTACACTGTGCCTTGCAGACATAAATAATCCAGCCTCTGTGATACATGATAATATGTGAATAATGGATGCAGTTACTGCAGTTATGCCCCGTTGTGGGCTGTCAGCCCAGCGAAAAAGAAAACCCATAAATGGATGACCTAATCTAAAAATGTGTTGCGTATGGCTACATGGCCCAGGCGCGCCTAGTTGCTTTTTTTTCTCCCCCTCTCCACACTGCTAGCAAAATAAAAGAATTAGCTTAAACCTCAATACCAAAGTGGGGGGAGGGAATGAATGATTAGCAATTCCTCTGGAAGAAAGTAGAGGAGGGGAGGGAAAAAAAAACATACAAGAGCTGCATTATGATTTTCACGTGTGCTTCTTTGCTGAGGTTATTAGGAAGAAATTTCCTGGATCAAGATGGAATGTTCCCATTCAAGTCAATGGTTAAAAAAAACAGAGGGAGGAGTTGAAAGTAATGTACAAGAAAAGAACATGAACACACATGAAGGAGGAAGGGCAAAAAAAACAAAACAGGCTTCGATCAGCGAAGCTAAAGAGAGGGAGAGAGAAAAGATAAAATGCACCAAAACTGAGAGCGCTGCAGCTGTGTAATACATCTATAAATAACTGAAATTACAGCCTGCCAGCACTGCAGTGATTTCAATCTCTCTCACAGCACGCAGTCCCGTGAAAAACGGCGGGGTCCGACAGAGCCCACGAAAAGGTAGAGTATGCTCCATTTAGGTTGGACACCTTTCCCTCCATGCCCAACCCTCATTTCCACATGGAGCGGGCTCTCTGGTGACTGACGGGCTCAACTCGTGGAGGGCAAACACACACCACACGGTGCACTGAAACTACAGAGCAGGACAGCTGTAGGCGCAGATCAACAGGAGAATGACAAAGTGACGTGCGACATGAAAGGCCGAGAGGGAGGCTGGGGGAAATTAGATGAATCCGCCGCGTCTTCATTATGCCACTCACAGTAGAAAGAATGAGAGTAAAGCAGAAACCGGGGGGGCGGGGGAGGGGGAAAATAAAAAATTAAAAAATTCAGCAATGAGTTCAAGATGGCGGCAGTGCAGCATGAGCCAGTAGCAGAGGAGGTTGTTCAGTTGCTGCCGGGCCCCTCCTCCTCCTCTCACCCCCACCCTCGTTCCTCCTCCCTCCCAGCTCTGAGAGCAGCTCACTTACCCTTCCTCTTGGCCTCTTCACTGTAGACATGGTGAGTTTTTTTTCTTCCTCTTTGCTCCCCCTCTCCAACCGGCTAACAAAAGCCTTGCCCTTTCACCGTGTTCCTGCTCTCTCTGTTGCTCACTCACTCCTTCTCTTCCAAACACTCTTTTTTTTTTTTCCCACAGTCCGGTTTCTGTCACTCTTCCTTGAGCTGGTGTCCCCCCCTCCCCTCCCTCCCTCACTTGCTTGTTCCTGGTTGTCCTCCCCTCCTCCCTCCTCCTCCTCCTTTCCCGGTCAGCTCGTCTCCTCGGGCGAGAGTGAGAGCGGTGCTGGAACCGTTCCGTCGCCTCCTCCCCCAGCGGGCAGGGCTCAAGAGGAGCGCATGGGGAGCTCTCTCTCTCTCTTTCTCTCTTCCTCCCTCTTTCGTCTCTTCACAGGGTGATGAGGGAGCAGCGCTGTTGGCGGTAGAGGAGGTGCGTGGCAGTCCAGGAAGCTCTCATTCTGCTGCTGCGTGTTGCTTCGCCCTCGTCCGGCTTCAGCCTTACTCTCTCTCTCTGCGTGTGTGTGTCAGAGTTGCCTTACCCTGCCTCCTCTCTCCTCCCCCCCACATTGAGTCCCCTTTTCCTCCTGCCTCTCGTGAGTGTGCTCTCGGTGCCTCTCTGGTCCTCTTAATTCTCCTTCTTTTCGCCGTTTCTGCTCTGTCGTCTCCCTTTTTACGCCTCTCCTCGTCTTCTTCAGCAGACAGATAAAGGTAGGTTTCTCCTCTTGTTGCTTACAGAAAAGGCTTCGTTTGACCTTTCTCGGTTGTTTGGTTTTGTTGGTTTTCCCTTCTCTTTCCCCTCCCTATACTTATCCCTTTCCCGGTCCTTGCTTGTTGCCCTTCTATCCGCCTGGCTGGGGTGTGTGGCGAGCTTGCGACTCAGGCAGCCGGAGCAGTGGAAAATGAAAGCACAAAGAAGCAAAATGCATCAGCATGAATATTAGAGATGTCGTTAAAACCCAGACTCGTTTTTCTCTCGCTCACTCACCCCCCCTCTCTCTCTCTCTTTCTCTTTCTCTCTCTCTTTGTGAGGAAGTGGGCCAGCAGATGGTGCTAGCAGTTATTACATTAACTTTCTCAACTTAACCCCCAAAGTACTGGATTTCTCCCACGTTGTGAATTTGCAGAATGAGTGCTTCCTTTTTTTGAGTCCTTGCATCGGCTTCTATGTAAGATGAGCTGATTAATTTACAGATTGCCAAAACACGCAGATAAACCAGTTCCCAAAAGCTAAAATTGGTTTCAAATCAACACCTCACTTAGACAAGGTCAAAGTTGAGCCATTATGCAACAGTGAGGAGGAAGAGCGTGAAGACAGGAAGCTAAGAAAAGTACTAAACGGGTATCTCCTGACCAAAGCTGAACGCCAGAATAACATCTGAGAAAATGAGAACACCTTAAAGGAAAGTCCTGACACCACAATCCAGCGGCCATGTGCACCAGCTCGCACATGAATTTTCAGACACGCGACTGGCCTGAAGCCAGGTACAGCACTCAGCACTACTAGGTCAGTCCTCAGTCACTAATGCATATAACTAGAGGTGCATCCAGTTCATGATGAGAGTGAAATAATGAATGATTTGTGTCATATGTGGGAAACAATTCAATCCCCCACATCCCATTTTCTTGCTTTGTAAATTACAGACTATGTTTTCAACAATGCTAAAATTGTACGAAAATTTTCAGACATGGGGATAAAGTCAGTATTTTGCAAGTCACAAATATGAGTGAATCCGATCAACTCAAGACAAGTCTCAAGTCAAGACATTCATTTGTCTTTTTCACTGCACCTCATTTTTTATTTAGATAAGGTCGAGCAAATACAAATTGATTTGAAATAATGCTATTTAGGCATGCCCTGCAAACATAAACTATTAACATTGCTCTGTATAATACAGTTATTGATAGATACTGTCATCACAAGATCAATGTGTCCTAAATTTTTATTATTATTTAATAATAACTATTAATGCAATACTTGTTGGCTACATACTTGATGTTTTTTGCCTGGCAATATGATTATCTGCCTTTTTAACAGTCTGCCTGGATTATGTGCAAATGTTATTAGTAAGAGAGAAAGTCTAACACACACATGAGAAGTGCAAAAAACATGGAGCAATATTTGTAGCAGCTGGTTTATCTATCTCTGCATTGATCAACAATATGGGCCAATGAATATTTTTTAATTGGATAGCGTTATAACTCTATTGCTACTTTGAAGTCATTGTCAGGAATTGTGTGTAAAAACAATAAAATATATTTTAAAAATACCTTAGAACACAAGCGTGCAGCCAGTTTTTTATAAACTGTGGGATGTTAAATTAGTTTCAAGAAAATAGGTAATATTTTGGTTTAAAATACTTAATAGGTGACATTTTTGAAATGTCAATATTTTCATTTCAATTTATATTGTAACTAACATTTTTACTAACCAATGTTCTTGGCTGTTCATGTGACAAAATGAGAAAATATGTCACAAAGGGTAACTGATGTCAATAAGGAAAGGGGATGGTGGGTAGTTGATATAAACTGACTGAAAATGAATAAAATTAATAGTTGCAATGCATAACTGGTACAACTTTCCAAATAAAATACCCTCAAAATGACACTGGGGATGCACAACATGACAACAGGCTATGGAATTTTACACAACAAATAACTTTAAAGATTGTGTCCCATGTTTGCCACTCTAGGATGTGGTTCATTCAGACATGTCATCTAAAAATTAGTGCAAGATAATTGCAATCATGCATTTATGCATGCAAAACTCAGATTTTCTGTGAAATGACTGCTTACAACATATGACTCAGATCATTAGCCCTCTCTTACACGCAGCACCTGGTTACTCATCTCTGTGGTAGTCAGATTGACTACAGGGCAACTGATTCAAAAAGATTCATTGAAGAGCAAAATAACAGAAGGAAATCAGAGAATTTCGATAAATATGAGCACCCCGACTGCCAGTCACAAACTTTACAGGCTATGCATGGTATGTACTATGCGGTCTTATGTAATCTCCACCAATATGGTTCCATTCCAACCCCCAGAATCACTCTAATACTTGTGAGTTTGCTCAGATGCAGTGTGAAATATGTGGGTGACCATATGTGGGTAATAACACAATATGGCTTTAGGTTCTAAACAACCAGGATGGTGTGGACTAGCTTTGAAATTACACAAGTATTCACGTGGGGCTGAGGTCATGTAGGTAGAAGAATGGTTGCAGAGGCTCTCACAGTACCTCTCTGTGGTTTGTGTTGTTTTACATCTCTCTGCTCTGTGTCTCCAGCAGAGACGGAGACAGCTTCCTGGAGTGCAAAGCAACGGCTGGTCTTTCCAAATTTCGGCAGCACCGGCAGCAGCAGGCATGGGATCAACCTGCCAAAGCACAGCCTTGAAGTTTGGACTTTAAAGCGGACCGCCTGCTTGCTGGGATGCTGAGCGGGACAGCCCCTCCCTCCCAGCTAAACAAACTGTTAGATAATGCCCACCAGGGAACAGTACCGGGGGATGAGTTGAAAACGCACGCATGGCCAGTAAAATGCAAACAATAAAAGGTCCCTTCACAAATCCCTGTGTCCAAATAAACATGCTTGAAAAACTCAGTGGTTTCTCCCTCCTGTCACATCTGATGAGCAAAGAAACTGACTCTGAGCAGGAGGTGATAAACCTTCTGAACTGAAAAGTCAATTTTATGTTCCTCATGTCATTCGTTTTAGAAAATATCAGTATATATTTCCTGATTTTACCAAAAGAAGAATGAATCTGGAAAATGGAGTAACAACAATTCACAGGCTTCAACGGTCAAATGGCATGAAGCCACAGCTCCCTGGCAACTAGACAGTTAAAATGCAAACGAGACAGGCAGCACTTTCTGGAAGGGAGGGGCTTCCTTTTAGGACAGATGACAGAGTGGAGAGGAAGAGGAGGGGAGGAGGAAGAAGGGGAGTGGAGAGGCAACGATGGTGAAAGGAAGTGGGTTATAAATGAAAAAAAAAAAAAAAAAAAGTCCTTCCCGCCCAGAGAGGTAGAGCTGCTGCAAATATACAGGTGTCCGTCTCTAAACACTATTACCATGAAATAGCCTGTATTAGTGAGGCGGTCCTCTGTCCCAGGGAGGAAGGGTCTATAACTAACTAACCATTATGGAAATGAGAGCAGAAAGCGAGCAGTGTGCTGACTGGAGCCGACAAGATGGCAAGTTCATACCCGCGCTTCGGGGCATACTCAGAAATGATCCAGCAGAGGAATATGATGTTACCCAGTGTTATCCAGGGCACCATCAACTGTTAGCTGAATGGGAACAAGCCTTTTGATCCATCATGGACTGCAGCCAATGGTGGATGTTTGATCTGGTAAATGGCTCCTTCAGATTACTGCTTTCACAGTAGTAAGGAAAAAAAAAAAACATTTAGGGCAGATATGGCTGCTAGTAGAGCTGAATCTTCCTCCTGACGGTGACATAAGCCATTAAATTAACTCAAGACCAAGTCTGACTGCTTTGTGTGTGATCTTTACTATTTAAACTCGATTATGTATATAATATATGCTGCACTTTTACTAGTTTATTATTTAGTTTACAGCCAGAACATATTAATTAAAATAAGCATTTCAAAACTGCCATCTGGGAATGTTTTTTTCTCCCAGAACTTGAGATTGTTATGGCTTACAGAATCAAGTCTTTACATAAATTACATCTCAACACCAAATGGGTAATTTCATAAAGAGCCTTGCGTCATAAAACACAGTGCTGAGATTTTCTAGAGTTTCCATAACAATTATGCTGTACAATTTATGTAGAATGCATGAAACAATTAGAGATGTGCAAGTATAAGAAACTAATTTAGCCAGCACAGACTTCCAAGATCCTTGTGTTTGTGAGCCGAGAGCAGGACAGAAAAGAAAGAAAGAAATCTGGTCTAGATAAGATCATAATTTAATTTAATATTTCACATTAGTTACACTCTAATGGGGTAAATCAGGAAAAGTTTGGAACAGCTACATAAATTTAAAATGTAGTTTCTTTCAAACCTGGAATAAGTCAGTGATGCCTCATCTTGTGGAGTGAAGGGCTGAAAATGATAGACTTAAGTGGATTTAACTCGTTCATTATTTTTAATAATGTCAGCTCATTTTATTAACATATAATGCAATCAATGGAAACATTTAATCCCAGCCACTTGTGTCGATGATATTTAAACAAAAATAAAGACTAACTTTTGTATGAATTAAGGGCAATATAAAATATGTACAATAAAAGAGTTTAAAACTTAAAAGGCTTAGAATAAGTAAAGAAAGGTAAGGTAGAACACACCTTACATTTCAAAACTATCAAAACACAAGGTAAATAAGTATCACCAATTTCTTAACTGATATGTAGAAGTTATTTTGGTTTAATTCCGACTCACCTAATTAATAATTGAATATCTTTTTCTGGTTAGCATCAACCACAGCTTGAGGTTCATAAGCCATTCCAAGTGCTTAGTGATTTTCCTCTTTACAGGAGACTGTAACACCTTCAGACACTGTCAACAAATGAGCTAAGTACCAGCCTTCCTAATTCACAAGAGTGGGTATGAATATTGTCTCAAAGACATATTGATCAGAAGTCATTTATTTACGTTTGAGGAATTCTAAGTCAACAGCAGAAGGTTCTTCTATAGCCTTATTATAATTTGCATCAACAGTTCCCTGATACAGCTGTTCACTTTGACCGCACACTTACATTTAGCATCAGCTTCTTTTTTCACATCTCCATTTCAATGCTGATCACTTAACAGCATACCTGACCTGTGGAGTTTATCACACAAATAAAATAATTACTGTTCATGAAAAGAATTATCCAAGAACAAAAGTCAGACCTATTTCTTAGACAATTAAGGTGTCTAGGTGTAGAAGGAAAAAAAAAAGACAAACAAATAACCTTGTTAATTAGTCCAACTGCTAAAGGCCAGCTTGCAAGCCAGAGCAGAGGCTCTGGCAGCAGCTGCAGCGCTGATAAATGAAAGGAGACATGATGCACAGTGATGCTTCCTCAACCAATTAAAAGCAGTGCCATGCATTAATGATCGTTGGTTCAGGGTCAAGAGTAAAACTAGCTAGGCTGAGCATGCTGCCCTGAAGGGAGGATGCTGAAAGTATAGCATAGTTACTGTAATCTGGCTGTGTGCTGCGACAGCACACAGCCGGCAAGCTCACGACGCAAATTCAATTCACAACAGCCAACTGCTGCTACTGCTGGGTCAGGAGGTTCAAAGAGGGAGAGAAGGTTTCTCATTTACTTTCCACCAGCTGTGCTGTGATTTTCTTTGCCATGTTGTGACGTTTGCTAGCAGCAAACTTAATAATTAACTCAAACCAAAGATATGAACGAAAGGAAACGATCTGAGTAATGTAATGTAATAGAGTAACTTCACATCACTTTTCTGTCACGTTTACCTACACAATGGCCATAAATATTATCCAATTTACAATTAGCTTTAATTGTACAGTCTAAAGCCAAAACAATCAGCTATGTGGTGCAGCTACATGGTCAAACAGTGAGAGGTGGACAGGAACAGCGTACAAAGTTTAAACGAGATAACTTTTTTGCTTGTTTCAGAAGGTACTATACGGCTTAGTTACAGCTGTTGAAGCGTATCGCCAGGCTGTGAAATTTGCAATAAACAAGAATAAAACTAACACATGAGAACCTGTTGCAACCATTAAACCTGCCTACACTTTGAACTAAACAATTGTTTTCATGTCTTGCTTAAAACAAAATATTAACTTAACCAACTGGTCCAGCAACAGTAAATATATCACCACTTCATTTGAGTCAACAGGCTTTGCAACTTTCAACCCTGTTGCCATACAAAAAGAACAAGATGATTTCCTGATACGTTTGATCACACTTAGTATAAACATAAAGAAATAAATGCTCCAATAAGGTTTCCAGGCTGACTGATTTTAATTTCCCTCTCACCCTCCTTAAGGAATATTCCACATAAACAAGAAAAAGGCTCTTTGATTGAAGCATTAAATTCTGAGCTGACAAAAAGAAAGAAAGAAAGAAAGAAAGAAAGAAAGAAAGAGAGAATCACAAGAATATCCCCATTTACGTATCAAAGCACACCACTTTCCTTTATCAGATTTTTACTGATTCCAGAATAGTGCTTTAAAGTGAATACAATTGGCTTATAGAGCAAAGATTGTTAGGAATATTTTAGTTTTGATTATTTTTAAGTAACGGAAGAAAAGGATTAAAAAACTAACTTTTAGGATTATTCATATCAATCAGAGCTAATTTAGGGATAACTGATTTCCAGCTCAGTCTGATTTAATTGGCACATAGTGATATCTTTTACCAACACAAAGGTTTTTGAGTTTAAACAGATCTGTGTGTAGAGACGCATATTAAACATTTTGATGGGACATAGATGAAAACCAGACTTACTGCATTTCTATACATACTGTATAGAAATGTTGGTTAAGGAGAAATTCTCTGAACATTTCTGAAATATATTATCTATTTTTATTATCTTTTATGTGGTATGAGAAAGACAAAAAAGAGAGTTGTACAAATCTACAGTGCACAGCATACCAATAACACCCAGTCTTTGAGCTCTTTTATATTCATTGTTACAACTTGTTCCCTTCACAACATCACTGGTGCTCTCCGTTTGCAATGGCAGTCTTCAAAAATGCTCCTTGCAAAATAGGTGAATGAATGCACTGAAATCCAGTTTTCGTAAGGAACTAATGCATAAAGACCCCACACAGTGAAACAAAACCATTTAGAGAACAGCCAAGGCCTGACTTGGCATCAATCAAGCTCTATGACTAAGAGGAGAAGGCAGTTATTCTAACTAGGGCATTTGCTCTTCTTCATTCCCTCTTCAAGTGTCAACTTAGAGGGCAGCTGCTCAGCATGATTTAAGATATTTTAAGGGTGAATGCACTAATGAGCATAAGTCAGATTTAAAAGAGAATCTAACTTATGATTCTCTCCTGAGAGAATCATAAGTAAATCCCACTGATGTTCAGCCATCAAGCAATAAATGTTTATGTTTTCTGTCAGTTTCTCCCAAGAGGCAGCACAAAGTTAAATCTGAAAGAAGGGCTTTTGGTAAATGAAAAACCTGACTTCATCATAAAATGGACTTCATCCTCTCTCGAACTGTTTTTACATTTTCTTTCTGTTAAGGAAAGACAGTGGGAAAATCAAGTTTCACTATAAATAAACTGCCTTCCCATCATCATTGCCATTTAGCATTCTTTGGTTAAGTTAAAACTTGAATTCACTGCCGATATCAAGATGCTTTAAAATACAATATCATTTAAAGTAAATTTATTGCAGTAATTCATTTAAAATAATGGCAATCAAATAGGTCCATTACACACAAAGGGATAAATTGCCACTGTATTTTAAATGGCTGGAATATCAAATGTGATCAATAAAATGGATTTCTAAACAGAAAATGTTTTATTGTAGGAATGTTGTGGCCCATACAATGATGGGACAAATACAAGTAGTCTAAGTCATAAGAAGCTGACTGTATAGAGTGCTGTGTACTAAATAGTTATTGGAAAGTTGAGTGGAAGAAAAAAAATGTGGTAGAAAAAGATGCAAAAGCAACAATCTGCTTCTTTTGAAGCAGTTCAAAAGAAACACAGAGACTCAGTCAGTTCTTTAAAAGCCACCATAGAATGTGGAGGCACTGAATCCAATTTTCTTGAGATCCAGAGTCAATTTCTACAGCCAGTGAGGATTTGGAAAGCCATGTCATCTGCTAGTGTGCGTCTGTTTTCATCGCAGTCCTCTTTTAGAGCACATTATGCTTCCCGAAGTTGTCCTTGGATGCTAATTTCACTTTGCGGCAGGAGTTGGCACCTGCTCCGATTGGCAGTACCTAGTTTAATAACCTGAATTGGCCAGCTTCTAATAGCTTAGAGCTCCCTGCATGCTGTGCAATTATCAGCTGTTGGCCAAAACATTTTGTCATGAAAGAAAATCTCTGATAATGTGTGGTACTCTGTGGTGGTTCAGGAACCAATTCAACTCTCTCTCTACCAAAGACAACCTGATACAAATTTGTAGCAGTGTCAGATATTTTCAGATGTGTTGCAGCTGCATTGACTAGTATTTACATATAAGTCTCCATCCCTAACTTTTTCCTATAAATACAGCGATTTTAAAAGTATTTGCAGCCTTTGAAGAACGAATCATTTGGCTGGTGTTTTGTGATTCATCTACTGCAAAAGTAAGAAACAAACTTGTTCTGCCTTTCAAACCAGCAAATGTTTTTTGTGGACTTTATATGATGGGCTACAAGCACAATTTAACCGCCTTTCCCTCCCCCTTAAGTCTCCTCCTAAAATTGTGGTTGTTGAGAGTAATGATGTGCTGCTCTCTGAATCAAAGATGGCACAGCAGGTCACACGCCAGGCACTGAAGCAAAGCTGAACTGTGCAAAACAGGCAGGCAGGATGATGCTATTCATTAACGCGAA